ACCTCAAAGAAAAGTACGACGAAACGACAGGGCCCCTAAAGATCCAGCACGTGATGCAGCACTTTGCATTCTGCCAACGAACCTTTTACACCTTCGATGGCAGAACATACGAACAAATCAAAGGAACACCCATGGGTTCCCAATATCCAGCCTAGTTGGGGAATTGGTCCTACAAGATCTGAAAAAGGTTGCTTTCAGCCGCTAAAAACCTGCATTTTGGCACCGATACGTGGACGATACATTCGTCGTTATTGAAAAGGACAGGCTCTCGGGTTTTCAAGACCTGCTTAACAGCAACTTCCCCGACATTCAGTTTATAAGAGAAGACGAGGAAGCCGAGAACATACCTTGCCTTGACGTGCTAGTCACGCGCATACTTGATAGCAAACTCAGTACTACAGTGTACAGAAAGACGACCAATACAACCCAAGTCCTCAACTATCCTAACAACCACCCATTGGTACACAAACGGGACTGCGTGAGGGCGCTTTTCGACCGGGCAAAAACGCGCTGTAGCTAGCCCGAAGGAAGGATGCAAGAACTAAGGCATTTCAGGAACCAATTAACAAAGAACGGCTACCCAAATGGTTTCATCAGCCGCTGCATCCGCATGCACCCACGACGGACAAACGGAAGAGAGACACCAACAATTTGGCACTCCCTGCCGTACATAAAGAATGTATCCGAGACTACAGAACGCATTGCGTCAGAGTTAGGCGTGGGCATCGCTCATTATCCGGCGGCTACCATGCGTAGCAGGATCATGAAAATGAAGGATCGGCTGGAGGCAGGTGAGGAGTCGGACAGTCTATCGAATCCCGTGCCGTAACTGTCCTTGCCACTAGACAGGTCAGACAGGACGACGTCTCAACTCAGAAATACTTGAGCACAAACGGGCCGTTCGGAGAGGCGGCCCATTATCTCAAGTCGTCACTCACACGCTGGAGGAAGGCCATGAGTTCGACTTCGCCAACACGCGGATATTGGCGCGAGCCGGCAACAAGACGGGGTGAGAATTGTTGGAGGCGTGGATGTCGGACACCAACTGTATCAATCGACACATTGATTTTCCTGCGTGTTGTCACGTACTCCCCCCACGCAGCCAGGTGGCGCAGCTCACATCGCCGCGAAGTACAGACGGCGTTACCACGCTGGGGGACCACTATGGGCCAGGCAGCACAAATCAGACCTAGCCACGAACGTAGTCCCCCCCGCACGGTACAATGATATAAATTTTCACACGTTGCTGCACTCTAACAGTCTCTGATGATAAACTCCAGTTCGAGTTCGAAAGCTAAGGCTGGTAAATCTACCGTCCCAGTGATCGTGCCTTTGTCTTTTTATATATGTTAGTTTGTTTAAGGGAGTATTAAGTCTCAGCGCAATGCAAAAATTCACTTCATGTAACTAGTAAAACTAATTCCACGAAGAATAAGCGTGACTGACCCGCCAAGGTTATTTAAACTTAACCGCCAGGAATCTGACAAATCAGAAGAAAGCCGTGGGTCGAAGGACTCCTAACCCTTAATACTAACGCTAACCCCTAAGGCCCGGCCATAAGCCCTAACTTTAAACCCTAACCTCGACCCTAAACCCTAGCCCCATACTCTAATTCTGACCGTAAACATTTACCCACTAACTCTAAATCCCAAATCCTAACCGTAAAATCCCAGCCCTAACGTAATTGTGAACCATCATCGCAGCAGTCCATGAGGTACCTCGAATTTAAGGTAGCCGCAATTGGTACTACGTCTGCTGAAACCGATAACAGTATGATGGGGATAACTATTGACAACCTATTGAAATCAGTAACATTGCGACAGTGATAATTTTTGACCAAGCATGACAGTCTTTCCGAGCACTGCGAACGCTTTACATGACTGCCTTAGGCACCAGGCGTGTTGAACATCCTAGAATGTAGATCCATATCTGTGTCTTCCCCTTAAAACTAATCCCAGAAGATAAACGAGTTTTGAAATTAATCCGAAAATTGCAAACAGAATCTCACAAATGTAAATTCTTGTTGAGACTGTAAACGATTCTGTGTGATTACGTCGTCAGAATGGTAAACAGAGAAGTGCTGGTATCACTTCTTTTTCTTAGTCACCTATATCAATATCCAGTGCCCGAAATCTGTCTTGTACCCAAAGGCCATCTTAGTTATATTGCCATAGAGAGCAAACCAGTGCAGCCTAGCATTGCAAATGGAAAAACTTGTTACAAAAAGGTAGCAGATCTCTTCACGAAGTTAGACGCATCCATATAAACTCTTGATTACGAAGTCTGTTTGATGGCTCCCGCAGTTCGATAGGAGGCCGCGTGATCGGCCGGCCAAAGTGTAATCAAAAATCCTATGCGTTCCCCAGATGAATTTTAGTTCTACACTTTGTATTAGAAAAAGAAATGAGGCAGAGTTAAACACTATGAGGAGCAAAAAATGGGGGATTAAACGTCCAGTGCCCTAATTTGGGGGGACAGTTCAACCATCTCTGCCGACGATGTCTACCGTGTGCTTCACAGGAAGGTGAGGCAGGTACGCTGACTTGTGCGTGATTTGGCTTGTAGCGCCTGTGGACTTTAGCAGCATCTACCGCACCCCCTCACCCTCTCCCACCTGGGTCCGTTGTCAAGACAGAGTAAAAAAGACCGGGGCGGGCACCACCAAACCCACAATTTGGCACTCCATTTCATACCTCCTTGCCCACACAGAAAATGACCGGATTGCGTCATAGGGCGAACTAATACATCCTACATCGCAGGTCGAGTAAATTTAACGATAGAGGGGCAACAGCTCTCTCCAGGCTTTCTGATGAATTTACGCGAGTCCTTGATTCGGATAATAACATGGTGACCTACCTAGTGCGGTACAGTGTAGTATCACTATATCTCATGATGAAACTGTGTCTCCTTATGTTTTGTCTGAAACTGAACAGAAGGGAAGCAGAGTGTTTTTAAAAGCAGTGAGAATGAAGGCTGAAATGGCTATGCCTCGGTTGATTTGGCGTCCCCGCCAAGCTATACGTCAACACGGAACCACGGACTATTGAGATCCGAACAGCAATCAGTTTGTACAGGTTCTTACATAGAACGTTGGCTTGGCAGATTGCAGGGGGGGGGGGGGTTAGGCTAAAAATGAACGCGCCTACTTAAACTGCGCGCATACGCCCACAATGAACTTTCATTGTCCGATATGAGATCTAAATCCAATAACCCAGTGTGACCGATTCGTGTCAAAACGCCTCAATCACTTGGACGTTTGTTCATGTCGCGGTATATTTGAAGCGTTTCTTTACGTGTCATATGTTGTCAGCTCATGTGACAAGACTTCAAAGTGGCTTGTTGTCAGATATTAAAACGCGCCCAGTTAGATAATGGGTAATTATGCGCGAGAACCTCGAGGTTTGTGACAGTCTGCTATCCCATAATCAACAAACCATGACCGTCGCAGCCTGGTATGCGCTGGCAGTTCTCCGACATCTGGTTCACTGACGGTCGATGCGCTGGCGCTTCTGCTGGATAGTCAGGTTTGGAGCATGGCTGCCCAGTCTACCTCGTCTTTCTGACCCTCTGTGGTGCTGTTTTTGGTTGAAATTGTGGGCATTTGCTGTGTGGATCAAGGTGCGGGCTCGTTCTTGCCATCCGCGCAGCCGACATATTAAGTGAAGGCGCTAACCCAAATGTAACCACATCTTCCGTCAGCCGGAAATTGAAATTCTTGTACACCAACGTACAGAGTTTGCTATCAAAGTTCGACGAGCTGAAGATCCACCTCTGCGACCTATCCCCTGACGTAATCTCTCTAACAGAAACCTGGTTGACCCAACACGTGGACGACCGTGAGCTGGCCTTGCCTGGCTACCAGATGTTTAGAAGGGATAGGGAAGGGCGTCAGGGAGGAGGCGTACTAACGTATGTAAAAAATGGGCTAAATGTATCAGACAAGACCGATAACTTTTCGTGCAGTTCCGAGGCAATCTGGTTGTCTATTAAAGTGCCGAGCTCGCCTAGCCTCGATGTCCTGACAGTTTATCGACCGCCGAGACGGGACAACATGGCCGACGCTCGCCTGCTGGAGGAGCTCGAAAAGTTCGCTACGCGGCCGGATATCCTAATCATGGGCGACTTTAACGCGCCCCATATTGACTGGAGCTCAACCCATACAAATAGCTCGGAACAGACCTTCGATAGGAGTTTTCTGAACACGGCATTGAAGCTATTTCTCACTCAACACGTCATGTTACCAACTAGAGTACGCGAAGGCCAACAAGCCAACTGCCTTGATCTTGTACTTACGAAGTCACAGGACAGTATTGATGAGGTGTCATGCCTACCCCCCCTTCGGTAAAAGTGACCACGTCGTTCTTCTATGGGATTACTCGCTTTTTTCCATGCCCAAGAAACCCGGGGCAGTTAGAAGAAACCTTTGGCGCGGGGATTTCGATCAAATGAGGGCTGAAATTTTACGCATTGAGTGGGAGTCCATATTTGTTGGGAGCATACTCGAAGACTGGCAACGGTTCCGAGAAATTCTGCACGAGCTGATCGTAAACCACTGTCCGCTTTCACGGAAGAGGTTAACTAACAGACCTCAATGGCTTACGCAAGCCTTGAAGAATGAAGTGAATAAAAAACGACGGCTGTGGAAAAAATTGCTTTCTGACAGGAGCCCCACATCTATATGCGCGTACAAAATTCAAAGAAATCGAGTCAAGGGTCTTATCCTCAAAACCAGAAAGGAATTTGAACGGGATCTGCTTAACCGTGCCGCGGAGAACCCTAAATTATTCTACGGTTACATTAGGCAGTGCACGCGGAACAAGGACCCAATACCCCTGATAAGGACTGCTGAAGGCGAACATCTCACTGACGACAGGGCGAAAGCTGATCACCTTTCAGAATTTTTTCGGTCTGTTTTTAGTAGCGAAACAGGATTCAACCCTTCGACCCTTCAATCCTTCGAAGACACCCCAATTATAGAGACCGTCCAGTTCAGTGAGGGTATGGTTCTGACGGAGTTGCTGAGGCTAAAGGAATCCAAATCACCAGGTCCCGATGAGATTCCGGCGAAGATTTTGAAGGAACTCGCCGGTGAGTTGTCTAAGCCACTCTCCATGCTTTTCCATACATCCTTCGAGACCGGATATCTGCCACCCGACTGGAAGTCGGCGTGGATTACGCCGCTGTACAAGGGCGGAAGTCGGGTCTCTGCGAACAATTACAGACCGGTCAGCCTCACCTCCATTTGCTGTAAGATTATGGAGAAGATAATAAAGCAACAACTAATGCAGTTCCTTGAACAAAACCATTTGCTTTCCGATTCTCAGCATGGATTCCGAAAAGGCAGATCCTGTGTGACAAACCTGCTCTACTGTCTGGAACACTGGACTAGGGCTGTTGACAGAGGAGATATGGTGCATGCCATCTATATCGACTTTAAAAAGGCCTTCGATAGTGTGCCTCACCACCGCCTTCTATACAAACTTAGCCGAGCAGGAGTGCGGGGTAAGCTTCTGACGTGGATTCGTAGCTTTTTAATCGGCCGCTCTCAAGCCGTCCACGTCGGTGACCAACAATCTGCCGAGGTTGCCGTTAAGAGCGGTGTTCCCCAAGGCTCTGTTCTTGGCCCTACGCTGTTCCTCGTATACGTCAATGACTGCGCAAACGAACTGAATTGCGATGTCGCAATGTTTGCCGATGACATAATAATCTGGAGTACCATACGAAGCGAAGTTGACGAGGCGCGACTGCAGACAAGTCTGGACCACCTCGAGCAATGGTCGAAAGACTGGCTTCTACCGTTCAACGTAAACAAGTGTACATTCCTACGCGTCGGCAGAACCAGTTCTCCTAACCGCACGGTCTACCGTCTGACTGACAAACCACTGCAAGAAGTCGACGCCCAGAAGGACTTGGGTGTATGGATCACAACCTCGCTTAAGCCTTCACTACAATGTTCAAAGGTGGCCAAGTCGGCGATGTCCATGCTATACCTTGTCAAACGGGCGTTCTCCTCCTTTGATGAAGACTGCTTCGCCAAGGTCTTTCAAACTTTTGTGCGACCGCATCTGGAGTTTGCTATCCAAGCATGGCGACCCTGGACCGCTAAAGACTTGGGCATACTCGAAAAAGTTCAACGGCGAGCAACGAAACTTGTATCTGGGCAGTGGTCACTACCCTACGAAACGCGATTAGCTAATCTTGACCTCTTTCCTTTGAGTTACAGTCAGCTACGTGGGGACCTGATACAAGCTTTCCGCATCGTGCGCAATCAGGTCTGCTGCCTCGCGTTTGGAGACTTCTTCGAGTTGGCGACTACGACTAACCTGAGAGGCCATCCACTCAAACTGCGTGTGGCTGGTGTCCGGCTAGACACCCGAAAGTTCTTCTTCTCCAACAGAGTGGTTGCTGCTTGGAATGCCTTGCCTGAGGATGTTGTTATGTCAGGCTCGGTAGATACTTTTAAATGGAGTCTAGATCAGCATTGTAGCGCGCACCACAATAACGCCGGACTACGGCAACCTTGACAGCCAACGCGGACAATTAAGTGTTATAACGATGCTACTACCAACATGTAAGTAATGTATGTTTATGTTATTTATTAAGCCTGGGCCACGTCGCACACCGCTGTTCGCATTCACCACGATGCCTGTAGACTAAACAATTTTACTTCTTTTCCCGTGTCTTAAGTGTGCCTCAACTGTCCGCTATATTTTGACCAACAAAGCAAGGTAATGTGCCTCTAAACTCTGTTAACGCATGACATTCTGTGTTCATCTGTACAGTTTTTGCTATTCCCCTCGCATTTATTTCATATTACTTCCTTTCCATTTCCTCCATATATATCCTCTGCATGTAACCAATAGGAATTTCAAAGGTATACACCTACTTTCCCTGAAATATACTGATACTGATACTGATCCACCTGCGCCCTCCCCTGCCTTCGGTCTTTTTGACTCTGTCTTGACACCGGGCCCAGATGGGGAGGATGAGAGAGTGCGGTAGATTCCTCGCAGGTCACCGTGCTTGCTTCACCTTGCTGTGAAGCAAGCACGGTAGACATCTTCGGAAGCGACGGTTGAGCTATCATGTGCCGGCAACCCTTCCCTGATCGGGTTAGCCCCCTTGCACCAAATCTTTCTTACTTAAGCACTTGCGACTCAGACGGCATCTTTCAAGTTGTAGGCGTAAAGTGCACGGCTTAGTGGATTCGTAAACATTGCCTTGTTACCTTTTTTCACAAATCACGTCCCCCCTCGCATATTTTAAGGTTGATGATAATTAACCTATGGAGATCTGGAGTGCATAGGGGGACATGACAAACCAATGCATCTGACCATCGCAAGCAGAATTTATTTTGCGACAAGGGCGGCAAAAGTTTAGAGAACAAAAGGCGTTAACCGAGAGGGGTTTATTGGAGGTGTTGGGTTCTGAGTAGTTATTTTGCTTACCCATTTTCTGAGACTAGAAAGTCGTGCGCACATTTTTCATTATGTGGCGCGCTTTGCTTGACGCTACTCGAAACCCCAGACCTCCGACAAACCCTCCCAATGAACGCTTCATCTTCTTCACTCCTATTGAGGACAACAGTTCTCTTTGCGACTTCTAACGGATTCAACTGAATCTTTGATTTTAAAAACCTTATAATAACCTGCACAGTTCGTACAGGGTAGTATTACTGGTACACCACCGTTAAACCCAGAATACAGTGCAAATCGCCGGCCGAGAAGTCAGTCGAAAATGTCGTGTATTGAACTGAACTCAGGCGGAGTCGAGCAGTATTAAGAGCGACGGTAGGGGGCGCTCACGGATCGTTCTTACGGAACTCACTCGTCCCGTTGTGCCTTATGGGTTTTCTCTCGAGCCCAACCAGCAGCCGCACAGCGGCGCATTATACAGGCAGGGTGTTATTATCGAGAAAGACAAGGGAGAATGGAATGGCCATTTCTGGCTTATTAGCCGTCGTCAGCCAGTCATACCCAACCCCGAAGTGTGGAATGCCCGAGGCTCGAACTCGCGACCTGTTTGCTAGAAGTCCACGCCTCTCACCGCTGGGCCACGAGCCCGCTGCCCTATCGGTTTCGATCGGGAACATACAATGGTAGTGGGCGTTCACCGATCGTTCTTACGGAACTCACTCGTCCCGTTGTGCCTTAGGGGCTCTCCCTCGAGCCCAAACAGCTAAGAGAATGGCGACTGAAGTGGCCATATTCCGTGCCTGTGAAGTCTAGAGGTCTGGCCGGTGATCTGTATGTGCTTGAGGGAAACCGTCTGGATGCATTCAGACTCCAAGTCCGCGCTCACGGACTTCCCCACGCACCCCCTCTGTCTTGTAGAAAGAGAACCGATGTAGGCTGCCTCATCGAATGTGAGTCAGTGGACAGGTAAGCCTCCTATTGCACGTACATGTCTACCTGACTGATGTCCGTACGGAAAAATTTTCCGTTTGCGTGGGCGTCCGTTTCAATTCGGCAAAAACAAATGTCACTTCTTGAGCGGCATAACAGGAAGGAAGGAGGCACGTTCTTTCATAGAACGCTGTTTTGCGGATAACAGAACAATTTACGCTAGAAATGACTGACAAACGAAACACGAAGACGCCGCTTAGTTTGTTTGCGTCACGTACGCCCACGCTGGTCTTTGCCTGTCCGATTTGAGACCCAAACCCAACAAACCAGAGTAGCCGACTGGTGTCAAAGTCGTCTCGGTTACCTGAAGATTTGTCCGTGGTGCAATGAATGTGGCCTATTACCTTTTAAGTCATATGCTGGCACCCTTTGTGACAAGCTTTTCAAGTGGTTTGTAGGATGTTTAAGGGGGTTCGGTAACGGTAGCGTGAAGGACCCAAATTTGCTATCGGTTGACTGTGGACCGTGTGTTTATGTATGTACTTGCGAAATCTTGACTGCCAGTTGTAGACAAGAGTGTAGGAACAAAAACAGAGATCAACAGAGCATGACTTTATTGAATACGGAAATGTCTGCCAGGGAATGGGCTCGCTTGTCCGATGGCCAGGCACTCTTGGATGGTAAAACGTCATGGAATATCCAGCTGGATACCGTATCTGGATACATTAATTATTTTACTTGAGGATATCACTTTTGCCACCGACCGTCTTCTGAGTTTTCCGTCAGCTTACTGTCCGACGTGCTACTCCGTCCACAAAACTCCTCACTATCACCATCCGCGTACGACACGATCCAAGATGCCCCTACAAATGCGAATATGTTTTCTAGAATGCATGCACAAAAGGATTATTTCTGCCAATAGAAGCGAAGAGACGAGTCCCAGGAAGCAGTCTTGAAGACGAAGACACGATCGCCGGGACAAGAGCTTTATTAGCCTGACGTTTCGGATTCCTGCTCGAATCCATCATCAGAGGCAAAAGGAGATAAGGGTGGTTCATGCATATGCGGCTGCAGTATTTATAGGATGCAGTAGCCATGCTACCGCATGCCTATGAATATTCACGGCTCCCTCCCCCTTCATCAGTGATCGTTGCACGTGGCGTGATGGCCGACATTCGCGTCGTCAATTGCTGCAATTTCATCACGTGCGTTGGATGTTGGTGTGATGATTGCTCGACCATCTGACGCGCTGACCCGGCTAATACAGCTCTTGTCCCGGCGATCGTGTCTTCTTCCCCAGGACTGCTTCCTGGGACTCGTCTCTTCGCTTCTATCGGCAATGTACAGTACCTGTGCTAACTCATGAAATGCCGAGGTCAAAACAAGAGTGGAAAATGTAGCGTATTTTTGTGTTGTTATTTGTGTTTATTTAGTTGAAATATGGACGAAAAGGCCGTTTGCTGAAGGAAAGTTTGATACGGATCTGTATATTAAATAGAAAGCGGGCGGCATTTCGGCGAAATCGGAGGATTCCTGATATTCAAGCACTTTCCTACGCTATTAATGCTTTCGGATCGAAATTTTTTGTGTTACCTTATTAATCTGTTTAAGAAGATTAATAAAATGACGAAATTTTTCAAGAAACTTTCGAACAAAAAGAAAAAATTGAATTTCAATATCAAGAAAATCAGGGAAATGCAAATAAATTATTTCTTATTGTGTTCAGGAAGTAACGTGCGATTCTTCATCTAAAAATTCTATTTTCCAAATTCGTAAAGTTTTATGTTTCAAAATACCGAAATAAAAAAGTTTATCAGTGTGATTGTTTTACCAGACTGAAAATGCGTGTCTTAAACGCATATATATTGAGTTCGCGCGACATGCCGTCACTTTTCTTTACCACGCCAAACGATACCTATGTCTAAAGAATACTTATCCGAAGTTGACTTCCAGCGCATTCGAAAATTATCGGCGGAGGGAATCCCGCGTGAGTCGTTAGCTAGTATTTTCAATATTAGCAAGGTCACTCTGTGGCGCATTATTAATGATAAAACTGTTCCTAGAAATAAGATAGGGGGACCCAAACGGTCCAAAGTAAGCAAGACGACGATTTTATTCGTCGTACATTAAAAAAAGTTTCATTACATGCCCATTGAGACCATTCAACGGGAACATCTGCCGATGTTTTATATGAACATCATTAGGAAAAGGATGAAGGAATTTGAACTGCAGCGGCAGAAGGCCATGATTAAGCCATATTTAAGTAGAAAACTAAGTAGAGAACGGCTTTTATTTGCTAAGAATTATATTGATTACAGATCTTCATTTTGGAAGAGCATTTTCTTCTGCGATGAGGTTCTATTTTTAGACAAGCCTACGAAATCGCTCCAAACCGTCATATGTGGAAAGAACTTTCCAAGAGAACACACTAAACCGACGGCAACAGTTAAGAACTGTCGGCGGATGATGGTTTGGATGGCGATTAAATTCGGTGAGCGGCCTGTCTGGCGGTCAACATCCGACACCATCAACAGCAAGGTGTTTATTGCAATTGTCAAGGAAGCATTCGGCTACAACGGCATAAGTCGGCGCCGAATGGATACTGTAATTTTGCAGGACAATGCACCTGTCCACCGCTCTAAAGAGGTACGAATTTGATGCCGCTTGCAAATATAATCTAACATTTTAGACAACAACCACCCTCTCCGCCATCGGCCTCCAATCCATTTTCATCCCGGCCAACAGTCCCGATTTGAATCCTATCGAAAATCTTTTTGGAATAGTCAAAAGAAATTGGCACAAAGTTAAGAAGACTCTTTCACTGCAGGAAAAATTGGATTTCATACTCAATAATTACATTTCACAATCCACCATAGATAACCTCGTCATGTCTATGTCTGACAGACTTTCTGCCGTTATTAATTCAAATGGACAATCAACAAAGTACTGATTTTTTGTATCTGTTTCTGTCCTTAATTATTTTTGCATTTTTATGCGCCCTCCTCCTTTATACGCCCTCATACGTAGCCTTTATTAACTTGGTTGTAATATAGGCGTTTCTCGAAAATGTGACTTTTGTCGAAAATTATTAATTTTTATCTCATTAAATAATATTTTCTTAACCAAACTTTGCTTTATTTCTTTGACACATCTTTTATTTTCCGCTATCAGACTTTGGGAGCCGTAGTGTTTACCGATTCTGCGTTTAAGTCGTTAACCTGTGTTAATTCATGACATTTCATGAGTTAGCACAGGTACTGTATTTGGGCGCGATGCGCTCCGATCGGCCCGGCGATGGGAAACCTTCGCCCTTCGGAAGGCCTCCACGTATTCGCAGATCCGGTTTCTGCATAGGTGTCTCGACAATAATGTGTTGCCGAAATGTGCTTCATACAAGCATCCGGTTAACACAGATTTGGCGAGACGAGCAGTATTTCAACATGGCAGAAGGATGATTCGAGTGCTCCTCCAAGACTGTCACGCGAGACTTCGCAAGTACCGTCAAAAGATTGACCAAGAAAAGACCAGATGCTGTGAGTTCATGGGCGAGATCGGTACAAATCTGCTCCTGCAGAGGATAGCTGAACAAGCCCGCGAACAGAGAATGATACGCGACGCAGCACTGGAGAACAAATTCCGAAAGCTGCCAAATCCAACGTCGCCCAGAAAGGACAAATTGGTGCACAACCTGTCGTCAAAGGAGCTGACCAAGGATCAGATGCAGGTTTTAAGGCACGAAGCTTCATTCAACACGACTGACGCCAAAACTGTTAACATAATTGCAGCAGTGGAATCAATCTTTAGTCAGGCGGAGGCAACGGAGGAGACTAAGAGCCTCATCCGACACCAAGTGTCGTCTCTCCTGATGGCCCACAGGCCGCGGGAAGTGCTTTCCAAGGTCGAACGTGATGCAAGTAGATAACGCAAGGCCAACAAAGACTTGGTCACCGTGCCAGCGGACAAGAGACGCTCCACGGTTGTGCTGGACAGGTCAGACTACGTTCAAAAAGCCAAAGGTTTACTGGGAGACCGGCAGTTCTATGTCGCATGTGCAACGAACCCTGTAAAAGCGCTGACACGGGAAATTAATGCTACGTTGTTGGCCTTGGAGAACTCGGGTGCAATAACACCGACCGACAGACGCATGGCGAGACCCCAAGATACGGCTTTGGCCCGATTCAGTGGCCTCCCTAAGGTGCACAAAGACGGCGCTCCTCTCCGACCCATCGTGTCGCTCAAAGGTACTCCAACGTACGGACTGGCTAAGTGGCTGTTCCGGGGTCTCAAGTTCCTGACCGCTGAGTCAGACACCACGGTCTCTTCGACAGCACAATTCCTGGAAAAACTCAAAGGGGTAAGCCTCCATCCAAATGAGGTCATGGTATCTTTTAATGTTACATCCCTTTTTACTTCTATTCCCCAGGACCTGGCGATCGAGACAATCGAGCTGCTTCTACAAAGAAAATACGATGAAACGGAGAATCGTCTTGGACGCGCCCAAGTCCTTCAGCTCCTGAAGTTCTGTCTCAGGGAGTACTTCAAGTTCGACGGGACAATTTACGAACAGATGAAGGGCACACCAATGGGTTCGCCCATTTCGGGGTACATCGCCGACGGTAAGACTCGCTGGTCTTCCAACACCATAGACCGAAGTTCTGGGCCCGGTATGTGGATGATACCTTCGTCGTTATCGACCGGGATCAACTGCTGATATTCAAGGAACGTCTGAATGCGGTCTTCCCGGACATGCAATTTACGATGGAGGAGGAAGAGGACAACAAGCTGGCCTTCCTCGATGTCCTCGTATGTCGCAAGGATTGTGGTGGACTATAGACCAAAGTGTTCAGGAAAGCGACAAACACGATGCAAGTACTGAACTTCAACAGCAACCACCCAATCAGTCACAAACGCAGTTGTGTAAGGACGCTCTATCGGCGTGTCGAAACACACTGCAGTGAGCCAGAAGACAAGATTGTCGAACTACAATACCTCCGACGGGTCTTCAAAGCCAATAGCTACCCGAGCAACTTCGTCAACCGGTGCATACGCAAAAGGGACGAAAGGCCTAACCGCACGGACACCAAAGTTTGGCGAGCGCTTCCATATGTCAAGAACGTTTCGGAAGCTGTTGACCGCCTTCTCGCACCACTTGGGGTTGGAGTTGCACACAGACCGGAGGCTACAATCAGGCGTCAGTTAATGAAACCGAAAGGCCCACTGCCACGGCAAGAAACGTCTGGAGTCGTTTATCGGATCTAGCGCAGTTGCGGACAAAGCAACTACGTCGGAGAAACCGGAAGACAACTCCAAACGCGAATGGCCGAACACGCTGCAGCGGTGCGGAGAAATGACGCTAGTTCTGAAGTTGCGGCTCATTCGACGAGATCCGGCCACACATTCAAATTTGACGAGGCCGAAATTCTCGCAAGAGGTGACGACCGCGTGAGCCGGGAGCTGCTTGAGTCATAGTTTACTGCCCCCCCCCCCAGTCTATTAACAAGTGCAGTGATCTTCCCATTCAATACTCCGTGCTAAGACTTCGTTTAGGCAGAGTAATTGGCCACGCGGGGAGCGCCCTGATGAACACCCTTCCAAACACCCGGGTCAGCGCGTCAGATGGTCGAGCAATCATCACACCAACATCCAACGCACGTGATGAAATGGCAGCAATTGACGATGCGAATGTGGGCCATCACGCCACATGCAACGATCCTTGATGAAGGGGAGGGAGCCGTTAATATTCATAGGTATGCGGTAGCATGGCTACTGCATCCTATAAATACTTCAGCCGCATATGCATGAACCACCCTTATCTCCTTTTGTCTCTGATGATGGATTCGAGCAGGAATCCGAAACGTCGGGCCAATAAAGCTCTTGTCTCGACGATCGTCTCTTCTTCTTCAGGATTATTTCTTTCACTCATTTAATAACACATGATGTCTCCTTCAACTTTTATACTTGAAGGAACAGCATTTTTCGGTTTTAAAATGTTTCTAATTATACGATCTTTTAATGCAGTGAAGGGGCCAGTGGAACAGAATAGCATTGGCACATTTATTAATGCTACTTATAACGTGGACAAAGTGGTCCGCGTCTATTAGAGAACTTTGTGACCCCTTTATGTTTTCTTCCTAATAACATAAACAAGTACATGGTTTACCCTGCGCCAGGAGTATACAGCTTGTAGTACGTTGCTTCCCACACAACAAGACTACATCAACCGTTCGGAAGTACCCTGGGACCTTAAATTGCTCTACCGCACGGAGAGACCCCCAACTTGGAGCACTCACTCGCTTTGACAGTGAGATGAACGCTCTAGCATTACACCAGGGTTAGGTCTTGGTCTTCGCAGTAAGTGAGTTTTACGTCCCGTCAGCCGGGGTATGAGCTCTGGTTACGTGCGCTGCGATCATTAATAGCACTAGAGACAGGGACGCGGTACACGAGTATTCCTGTTCACAGGACAAAACTCGTTCCTTGCATTTTGTTTTTAATCTCTGTCACTTTTGTGATGGTGTAGCGGTTAAGCGGTGAAAGTGTATACTCAGAGCGCTACAATCACTAGGCGAAATCCCCATCTACTACGTGGAGAAGACAGAAGTCACCATATTGAGGGATTCATTGTGCACGGAACCCTGAGTTGCCCTCTCAGGCGGCAATGGCTGCTGGCGAAGTCAGGAGTAGCGTCGACTGCTTCATTCATGCGTGGGAGTCCTTGAGGAGGTGGTGGCACCTTCTTTTGTAGGTTTGTGGGCAAGCTCAAGTGGTGTCCAGTGGGTGTGTTTTGCATTTGCCGAGGGGTGGTATTCAAGTTGCTCATGTTGGTAGCTGCAGGGGAGTGGTGTGTTCAAATAGCGCATGAGCAACTGCGACTGTGTGGACATATGTTTTTCCGGGTTGAATTCGCTCGATTGGATGCAAGTCAGCGCGTTTGGAACCGCTCACTGAGAAGATGAATGACCTTGATGCAACGGGCCTTGAACCAGACCGACTGTCGGCAACAAGAGCTCCGAGTTAATGCTCAACGCCGTGTTTCATCCTAAGACTAAACGGCTAGACGAACGACACTTACTCGCAGTTAAAAAGGTAATTACTCAAGGACATCCATAACTCACTTGCCATTCGGAAAATTCTGCAAGTCGTACTGTGCCTTATACTAACTTACAGTGCGTGACCGATCTCATAAAATGTTGACTGAAATTCTGAAGTGCGTTTTCGATTTGGAAGGTTTACTTTGGCGCGGTTGTAGTAGTTCTTGCAACACAATCCTATAATATTTCGGACCTGGCAAGATGTCAGCTTTTGAATACACTGCTTTGCAATCTCCTGTGTAAACCGTACTCGGTAAAAAATGACTACTTAAATAGCATGCATTTTTCCCATTGATTTTCGATGGTCTTACAAATTCAAATATATTTTATAGAAACTACGAAAAAAATATGCTTTCTTTCAGTCAGTTAATAGAGAATCACGTCTTCTTTAAATTTTATACTCAAGGAAAGAGTATAAAGAGGTTTTTAAAAAGTTTCTAATTATAAGATTTTTTAAGACCGCAATGTCTATTCACATAGCATCGTACCTGGCCGCTTACCACAGCTCCTCATGAAATGCACAACATAGTTCGCATCCACTGTAAAGTGTTATGGACTCTGTATGGTCTCTTTGATAATAGCATAGAAAAATGTGTTATTTTCTTTGCGCGGAACGCATGCACCTAGTAGGCTAAATCACTAACCGCTAATGCAACTAATGATCAGGCTCCAAAGTATTCGGCAATTAGAAAACTTTTCTAAACCCTAATTATTATACCTTACTTGAGTATAAAATATAAAGAAGACGTGATTCTCTATTAAGTGACTGAAAGAAAGCATACTTTTGTAAATGGATTCTATAAGATATATTTGAATTTGTAAGACCATCGAAAATCCATGGGAAAAATGGATGCTATTTAAGTAATCATTTTTTACCGAGTACGGTTTTCACAGGAGATTGAAAAACAGTGCATTCAAAAGCTAACATCCTGCCGAGTCCGACATGTTATAAGATTATGCCGTAGGATAATAAGTATTACAACCACGTCCAAGTACTCCTTCCTAATCGAAAACGTACTTCAGAATTCCAGTCAAAATTTAATGAGATCGGTCACTCACTGTAAGTACAACAATGAGCATTCCTTTCGTTGTTCGTAGCACAAAGAAGGACATATAAAGCCGCGTTGACCGAACCGGCATTAGAGTGGATCTGCTGACCGGTATGCAGGTCCCGACTTACATTGGCGATGGGCCGCGCTGCAGCTGTGCTTCACCGACATGCGCTCAAATCATCCGTGATGCTCTTGGATTCCAGCAAGATTTGTCAAAGAAGAATATTCTGGTAACAAACACTATTAGCATGCATAATGCGCTACCCGTAATAGCGTGTACCGGACACGATGATCAAAACTTTACTTTATTCCATTAAAGGGGTATACATACAACGCGGTTGAGGAGCAATAACTAATGTCATCTAAGAATCTCACGTTTGCCATCCGTTTTTGCAAATATTCGCGCAAAACGATAGAGATTGGTGCAAAATAGAATGAATTTTGAGCCGCCTTAGTTTCCTTAAATATGTAGACGTTTGTTTTTCGTCCTTTTGTGAGAGGCAGATGAAGCCTTTAGATCTCATTTCAGTTTTGAGACCACTCAGACCGTCAGCTAAACAGGCTTTTCTCAAACATTGCCTAGAGTTTGCTGGTAATAAACGTCTATTGCAAATCGCGTTTTTGGTCGGCTGTTGCATACCGACAAAGCTGGCGTACTTCTCCGGGAAGAACGATAACGAGTATTCCTGACTGCATGTCAGAACTCGCCCCTTGCACCTTTCACGACTGTGAGGTCTCTAGACGCAATCTGCACGTTTCTTCAGAACCGAACAAATTTCTCAAGGTTACTTTCACCATCGGGGAGATGCAGAACTAATCTCCCATCACGAAGATTACGCGTGTCAACCTATGCCAATCGGCTAACATAAGCACAACACTGGAAGATACAGATGGGAAAATTAACATCAGGTGAAATCCAATAAATGAAAGCAGATGAGCAACTATGTTTCAATGAAATGCTCCGACGTCGTGCTTGCATCTGGTGGATACCAGAAATTTTTGCGAAAAGCTGCTAGGCACTCGCCCTTCTTTATACGATCCTACTTGCGTCCCCGGTTGTATCACAATTGGCCTTTTCTGGCCTTCTTTCGACTTTGAATGGGAATTTAAAGCTACTGTCCAATGTTTTCCGGTATCTTGTGCCAGGTTCTCCGAACACAGACCACTGGGCACCTCGTTGATCACCTTTGGCGACCATTGCTTCACCAATTCCGATAAGATGTGGTTATGCAGCCCCAATAAGGCTGTTGCCGTTGGAGTTAGCGGTTAGGGTTAAGGTTAGGGGTTAGAGCAACTATTTCTCAACCACTCAAAATACAACCTTGTATTCCCAGCAGCTTTTCTTTTGCATACAACTACTTGACCTCGTCGCCTTTGCGTTCCCCGGCCCCACCTGTACAAAACCCTATTACCACCGGTCCCGTATTAGAGGTGACTACGGTTTTTTTACTTCAGGTGGGGCTGCATAACCACATCTGACCCTGTTTCCGAATATCGTGGTTGATGGAATACTTGTTGCGCCTGTAGAGTGCTCTGGACTGAATATTTTTTGGGAAGCCTTCTATATTTTACATTAGATATCAGTCAGGGTTTGAGTCAAAATTCCAGAAGTACACGGCTTTTTACTGTGATCACCACTTAATTACAGTTAACAGAGCAACCGGTGACTGCTCGCAGTTAAACACATCTG